TTGTAGAATTTTCATTTTGGGTAGTTGTTTCTAATTTCTTTGAATTGTAAAAAGATATTTACTTCACTAAAAAGACTGCAACATATTACGTAATACTCACATTAGGACTGAAAGCGATGCTCTTCTTAAGCAATGAAAAATTTTGGATTAAATACACACAACTATCCGATGATGCTTCTTAAAATCGGATGACGTTTCCGTCAATTGCCGTTTTGTTTACAAAGTTCTATTGTTTCAAACTCTAAAATTACTGAAAAATTACAAATTAAAATATTGCTTTTACATCAGCATGTTTTACTTACAATGCAGTAAATACGAATTTGAAGATTTGAACAATAAATTTAAAAACTACGGAATATAGATCTGCGTTAGCTCTCTTCTAACAAGAAAAGAGAAAATGACAAAAACGAAAACAGTCGAAGTAGAACCCGAATAGAAACCGCACACGTCACGAACACGAAAATTATGGAATATTCTCGATTGTCTAAACAAGAAGCAATCACTGGAGGGCGTTCAGCATTGGGGTTCTCATCTTTCAATTCGGCACGTGTTGAGATGACTAGCTTCGTTCCACAGAATGCGATTCGCATGTAATGTCTCTCTCTATTCAATTCGTTACGTGTTGAGTACACTAAACTAGCCGATCAACAAAATCAAGCCGCATAGCGAGGTGATTTTTGACACTTTGGCGCCCACATGTGCGTATCTAAATGTACTAAAAAGGATCATCAAAATTAAATTTAACACTTATTACTACCGCATTTGAGAATCCACATCGGATGCATCTGAGATGTAAATCTTTGATCACGTGATTCAGTATACGTAAATGTAATGGGACAGATGTGTCCAATGTAGATAAAAAAACGCTCGAGATGTAAAAAATGCATCCGATGTGGATTCTCAAACGCAGCATATATTCAACTATGACACCTTTTAATTTAAGAAAATCACTTAAAAATTATTTTTGATTAATACGCAGCTGAAACAAATGTTCCAATTTATTATTAAAATAGCGCGTCATTAATAAAAAATAATATAATTTATCGGAAATGTGACGTAGAATGCTCGAAATTGACAGTCTGGCGTCCAAATTGCCATGCACACCGACCGTGTTTTCCATAGAAATGGGGTCACTAACCATTTCACTCACCTTTTCTTACCCGTGACAACCAGACAGTGCATGCTTGATTTTTTTAAATTAGAATAATAGAAATACCAATTTTGCTAAACTTTATTTAAAATTTAAAAACCGACACAGACACTCACTTCCCACTGGGGGGGTCAATTCTCGACTTGTAGGAATATTTTCCTATAGGAATTTTTGACATTTTTATATATATCGAAAATTTATTACATCCATCCATACAATTTGTATAAATGGAACAATATTTTCAGAAGTGGTGTAGCTCAGTGCTACACTTTCGATGCAAAGGAAAAGACCTAATATCAGTTTGATACTAGTTGACATGACAACAACCAAATACAGCATAAAAACTACGAAAAAAACACAATAAAACCTACAAAATCAAACAAGCGAACTTTATTCAAGGCGATAATGTAAAATTGTCGCTAATTAAAAATAAAAGGGTACAGAAAATACCGTCGTGTCAACTTTTTCTATGAAAAACTTCTGCGCAACATTTCGGCGCACTTTTAGTACTAAATTTAGTAGAAAATAGAACAAGATCTAATTAATTAATGACTTTTTTTAGTACTAAATTTGCTGTTTGCAACGTGAATTTTTTTGGACATTATTTTATGTTCATATAATTATACAAATAAAAATTGGTTTAGTTAAATCACTTATTTTATATTACTAGAATATTTAACAAAATTTTGTTAATTGCTCTAAACGTAAGTTATGCCATCCTTTTTGTGATGAGTACTTTTATAAAGAAAAAATTAGGCCATTTACGAATGTGTTGTCCTTTTTGTGTAACGTCTCCATGTTCAGTACCAAGATACTCTTTGAAATAAAAACGTGAACATGTACCTTCATTCATTTCCAAATAAATCCGTGCGTTGTTCATTGCCTGGCGCCTCGAAATCAATACGATACGGGTTTGCCAATAAATAGAGAGTTAAGCAAAGATACGTAGGCGTATCTCTCTGACGTAAACGTGGAAATTGACGATACGTTAAACGAGCAATTTTGAAGAAAACAATAGTTAAAGCAAAAGCACTGACGTAAACGTATCTACAACTTTATAACCGCATAGGTATTTTTTGAGAAAAGTAGTTATATTGAGTAAATTATAAATTTAAGGGCTTTAAATGATCCTATGTATATTACAAATTCTACATAATAAAGAAAATTTGGAAAATAATGATGAGTTATGTGGGAGATTCAATTTTAATAATCGACTATCAATTATCTTTCTAGGAATAAATGTGATGTGTATGTTATATATGAAACTCGTTTCGTATTATGGCTCAAAATTTAAATAATCAGAACAATATAAAGTTATAATCTGTCATTAGTTTTATTAAATCTGGTGCGATCGGATGCTCCCGAAGCATTTGCTTGGCTCGATACAAATGCGTATTGGGCGTACGTAAGAACACGTACGTTTACGTAAATAGATACGTGAGAAATATAGTTATTACGCTTGCGTAGCTGTCATTAGATACGTTTACGTTTCTGGCATTGTTTTAACTCTCTAATATTACAATACTTTCCCTTGTTAGTTTCAAGACCGCGTTGGTATGAACCATAGATTACTAGTATGAACTGAACACGAAAACGTAAAATCACAGCCCGGATGAGTGATATTTTTCATAAACCCACTTTAAAGTGGTTTGAAGATATGTATTTTTAAATGATACTTTTAAGTACAGAAATTCAACATTCACAGACGTAAGTAAAAAAATATTCAGGGAGATTTAGACCAGAGCATACTGGCGCATTCGTTTGCAAAATTGTTTTAATTCGTATATTTTTTTTTAAATGCCCGGAAGGCTTTCCTGATTATAAAAATTTAAGATGACACTCGATATTTTTTGATGTTATTGTTTAAACAACGAAAAATTAATTAAGCCAGAAAAAATACATTTTTTGCAATGAATTAATTTTTTTTATATTCTTTAGGATATTTCGAATAAAAAAAGTTCTTACGCCCATCATCGTATCTTCAACCCTTTAATTGTTATGAATTTTTTAAAATCCAAAATTAACGATTATTCTGATTTTCTTGAATTAAATAATATAACTTAAAATGCTATAATTTTAAATGTTTTACCGAATATTCAAAATATAATAAACAAAATTACCTAAATAAATTTTGTTTGTTGCAATGTTTTTTTTTTACGTTATAACAATATGCTTCCTACGCGCCACGAAAAAGATTGTTAACTAGTATTTTCATTACACAACAAATTAAATCGCAGAGTCACGTTATAGTTTCGAGGAAGAGTTGCACTTTTTAATTTTAAATATTAGGTTTCGGACACTTCACTAACGCCTCGCCATGATCACAAAAACACTTTTTGTCGTCAGATAATTTAATTTTTTTTGGAATTAAAGAGAACGACATTACTCAAAAAATTACACGACTGCAAAGTAAACCAGTAGATGTAGAATCGTGCAAGACTGATTAACAACTGAAAAATAATTTTCAAAATCAGCCAAAAATTCCAAGGGATGAATTTTCTATTTGGAAAGATGTAAAAATTGTTTATGAGAGGAAAAAAATGAAGAGTTAAACGTACACTTTTTTCAAAATACGAAATAAGTCCCTTTACCTATTTGTATTCATAGTGCAAAAGATTGAAAGTCAAAAAAATTTCATATTTATAGTACTTGCAATCAATATTAGAAAAAAAAAATTATAACCCCAGTAAGCCTATGTTCATTGTAACATATAGAAATTTTTCACGTACCACGACAAGTGCATTTGGCCTTTAAAAAGTTGAAGATTTTACTTCTCAGGCAGTATCTGACAATAATTTTTCATGAATAAAAATAAATGTTTCTCTTAACTTTAATAAATAAAAATTTATCAAAAGTATCTAAAAAAGTAAAAAAAAATCACATGATACAAAACTATTAATCGGCAAATATAAGTGTTATGAAAAATGTTTAATTTTTTTAAACTTATTACCTCTGAAAAACAGCAAAAAATTGATTCAGCGCGTCATCGGGCTTTCTCTTACCCATCTTATACATTTGAGTTGGAAGCGAGATAGAAGTACTTCTCTCTAAAAGTACACGCGCGTAGGAATCATATTGTTATAACGTAAAAAAAAAAAATTTTGAACATTTATTTAGGTTTGAATATTCGGTAAAAAATTTAAAATTATAGCATTTTAAATTTTAAGGTATATTATTTAATTCAAGAAAATTATAATTTTCGTCAATTTCAGATTTAAAAAAATTCATTAACAATTGAAGGGTTAAAGATACGATGATGTGCGTAAGGACTTTTTTTATTCGAAATATCCTAAATATAAAAAAATTAATACAATGCAAAAAATGCATTTTTTCTGGCTTAAATTTTTCGTTGTTTAAACAATAACATCAACAAATATCGATTGTCATCTTACACTTTTATAATCAGGAAAACCTTCCGGACATTAAAAAAAAAATACGAATTAAAACAATTTTGCAAACAAATGCGCCAGTATGCCCTGCACTAATTACGGTTGATCGGCTGTCAAGTTACATGTACAGTGAAAGTTAGGAAACATTTTGCTATTGATTTTGTTAGTTGATTGAGGTACATTGATATGAAATGCAATTTGTGAAAACTTCAAAACTAAAATTCTGGGACATGTTAGCGCGAAACGTTGTATTAACCTCTACGCGATCAAGAAAGCTTGTAAGCTACTGGCAAATGTATCATCAGTCTTCAAGCTGACATGCAATTTTGCTTGCAAATGTATCCTCGGTCTGCAAGCTACTAGCACAATTTGCTTGCATATGCATCTCCAGCTTTATGAAGTGCTACGTTAAAAAAAACTTTTACCCAGCTGTTATAGATTGGATATAAGTAAAAACAGAAATGATTTTTAAATCTTTATTGAGTTTTGATCTGCACATACAGAAATATAAATTATTTAAACCTAAAGAAATAAGTTACAACTTTTGCTATCACAGAGTTACAGACACAAAAATTTACATTTGTGTGCAATAAAAAAGGTACTGAGAAACATACTCCAAACTACTGCACACAAATCATTTTACATCTTGGGATGCTATAATCAAAAATGAAGGAGTCTCAAATTAATAATCAATAGCATCCCAAACTGTAACCATGCTTTAAATTATTTCTATCACAACTTATAAAAAAAATGGAAAATAGTGCAAAACAGTAGTGCACTAAAATACTGTAAGATTCTTAGGATCTAAGCATTTTTAAATACCACCTGTGCTGCGGAAGTAGAATTAATATCCTGAAACAAAATAAGAATGTATTTAGGTATTTGGTTTGATAAAAAAAAAAAAAAAAATTCAGAAAATAAAAGATCAGGTCTTCTTAGAGGATTGAAGGGGTGCGAAAAATAATCATGGATTATTTCATCTATCTGACTCATCATGAGAATAATATTGAAGTGATAAAACAATTTTAATTATGTGATGCTGTAATGGTTCATGATTAAAAACTGTCAAAATTAATTTATAAGTTAGGTTTTGGTATGTAAAGGTACGTTTACATCTGACATTTATTGCACAAGATTTATGTCTGACAGTTGTTTAGTCCAGTGTAAACACACAAAAATTTCTCTCGGAGATATATGTTTGAGTGTTCTGGACTAAACAACTGTCAGACATAAATCTCAAGATGTAAACGTACCTTTAGAGTTATGTAATCCTGAATTATTTCATCAAACTCATCCTAAGAATAATTAACATTGATCAAATATTTAGTCGGCTCTACCGCAAAAGACGTACTCCTTAAGTTTAACATTTCGGAGACTTTTGTGGCCCCACTGTGACAAAGCTAAAATAGGGAATGTTTTTTCCTGTTTTTGTAGTAAGGTCATAGAGGTACGCCACTTTTCGAAAGTATGGCGGCTAGCATTACAATATTGTAGACCTAACTCAATTCTGATAATTTTTGAGATACGCCCTTTATGCGGTATTTGCGACGATTTGAATAAAAAATATTTTTTAATTATTTGCTGCTTAATGTTTCACGATTAAAAAACTCTCAAAACCAATTGAAATTTAAATGTATGACAAACTTTAATTGTTCCAAATCTTTCTAAAAATTACTATCATTTTTCAAATGACTTACACTTTTTGATGATTTATTCAAAGTAACTGAATAAGTTTAGTTTCAAAATTTCTTAAAAAAAATTGAAGATTAATAAGTAAATTCTTACCGGTCTTGTTGAATCCTCCCCTCGAATATCCATTGGTCGGCGCCCCAAATTTCTTGAAGCCACCACCAGCACCACCCTTATTGTACCCTGTATTACCCCACCGTGAGCCACCCTTGCCAAAATTGTTCGTTTTGTTGGCGATTTCACTTAATTTGGGATTCACAAACTGTTGAAAAAAACAAAAACCAGAATTAGTTATTTATTCTATAAAATGAAAAATATTTGCTATTTCAATGACATTTCAGTACGTCCTTAAAATTTAATATATTTTTATTAATGAAGATAAATAAGTAGTCCAATCATTGGTGTCAAAATATACATAAACATGTTAATTCAGTAAGTTGTAAAAGATTAAAAAAAGTCAAGACACTAAAACTAATATACAAAATTTGCAATTAAGTGAATACAAAAAAAAATCACAAGACAAAAAGTAAAAAGTTTATAAAACCAAGTCCAATGGCGATATAGAATATACACTAATACAAAACCGAAGGCTAGCTACTTTTTGAGGTTCAAATTTTTTTTAACATGATCAGGGGCATGTTATAACCAATAAAAAATTGTTATATTGTCACCTCAGTTCAAAAAAATAAAAACTTTAAAACAACACAATTCTGAAACGGTTTATTTTGAACCAAGATGTTGTAAGAATTTTGTGTTCTAAAATACAATGAACCTTGCAGTTTAAGTAATTCTTAAAAAGGAAAATTGATTTAAAACCTTGCTACAAGAACGGAACAGGGCTCAATTTCTGTTAGCAAGTTAAAAAAATTATGCAATTTATTATCATCGCGGCTGTTTGTTTCTTACACCAATTAATAAAGCTTAACTTTTTACAGAGTACACAAATAACTAAAAATTTAAAGTATTTTTTTTTAAAGTTTTATTAACTAAGAAATGTTATGATTTAAGAGTGTTGATTTGAAATTTAAAATATTTTGAGAACCCGACAATGTTAATATAAATTAGTAAACATTTAAAATTTTAAATACAAGTGTTGAACGGTTACACACTCTAATGAATTTTGATATTTCAGTGAAATAACGGATGTCATTAAATTTTGACCATTGCGACATTAAAAGTGCCGATATAAGCCTTCGATTCTAGAATATTGTAAACTTTTTAAGCATCTTTGAGTAAAAAAGTTAATACAAAATAAGCTGTAGGGAAACTTGAGGATGGGATCCAGACAGTTAAGGTGTGGACACCGAAGGCATATTTCCCGCATTAATATCCCTTTCAAAAGCACTCATGCATAGTCGAAATATCGCAACTAAGGCATGCCAAATTGAAAGGGTAACGAATTCAAGTGAAATTAAAGGCATACATAATAATTACCTGGTTAGTTTCATTCAGAACTGAGACCAAATCTTTGGCTTGCTTAAAGTTGGAGGGTGTGAAAAATGCATAAGAAGTACCAATAGAATCTGACCGACCAGTTCTACCAATTCTGTGAACGTAATCCTCGGAGGAATGGGGATAATCGTAATTTACAACGTATTTAATCCCATCGACATCTAAATAAAGAAAATACATTTTTTATGGGCTCAAATATCAGCCAAACTAAAGAAATTTCAAATAACTCAATTAAAAATTGTAAATGGCCACAAATTAAGTTAAGTATATTTGTTTAGTTTGGTAATTGTGTTCGTCTTAAAAATTATCATTTTCAATCTTAATAAAAATAGCAAATAAAAGCTTCATCTTATAGTAAAGATATTTTCAACATTTTGTAAAAATTTTTAAGGTGCATGCATAATATCGATTTCAAAAATGTATAAAATAAACAACCAAAAACATACTAACCAGTTTCAAAGGAAAATCCATGAAGTTGTGATGTGAGAAAACCCGAATTTAAAGGAATAGTAGCAAAAAAATAATCCTGCCTGCTTCAGTGGACCTTCTGTCACCAATTGGTGGTGAACTTTCATTATTTTTTATTATGGTCTACTCAAACATTGCAGAAATTGACCAATGGGAAGAAAAATGCAATGACATTGTTTTTTTTTTTTTGTAGAAAGTGCTCAAATATCCCACGACGAAACCTAGGTTTTTTCTTGAGAATATTTGGTAAAATGGATTTTTAAAGGACGTGAAAAAGGAATTTTAGGTCTAAACACCCAATGGACCATTAATTTTTGTTTAATAGTTATAACCAAAATTTCAATCTTCTAATTTATACTTGAAAAACTTGTTCAATAGGAATTTTTGAGCAAATATTTTTAAAATCCTCAAATTCTTCTTAAGAAACGAGTTTTATTTATCATCGGGTGTTATTTAGGATTTCAAAACAAGTGCCATAATGAATCGAAATACATGCATCAAAATCTTCCAAAGGTCTTCATTTTCCTAAAGAGCTGAACCGTCCTAGTGTAAGGGCGAAACAGCCTAAAGAGGCACTCGCATGAATTTTTTTTTAATCGCAATAATGGGAACTAAACACTCATCGTGCATGTGCCTCTGAAAAATAAAATAAGGGCGCCCAGACTGATTATTAATAAGTCAATAAAATAAATTATATATAGTGATAACAAAAAACCCCAAATATTTTTTCTTTCAAAATAAAAAAAATTTATATAAAATTAAGCTTTAAGTCTGTTAAAAAAAAACATTAACTACTGCTTGCTAGAAAAGCTGATCAAATGATATAAAAACCAGTCTGAAATCCCAAAACCTGCTACTATGCCAAAATGTTATTTTTCGACTGATTCCCATATTCAAAGGGGTTAAATTAATATATCACAAATAAACATGGTAAGATTCCAAACAAACCGATTTACTGTTTTTCCTGCTTCCCACATTCACGTAGGAAACTCACCTAACCCTCTAGCTGCTACGTCGGTAGCAACTAGTATCGATGATTTTCCAGTCCTGAATTCCCTTAACACATAGTCGCGCTCTTGCTGGCTCTTGTCACCATGCATAGAGAGTGCTGGCCATCCCACTCTACGTATCGTTCTAGTGATACCTTCGACCTTCTTTTTGGTCTCAACAAAAATTATTATCTTTGAGCCAGGTTCTGCACTTGTGTTGATTTCTGAGAGGAGCGTGCTCAACCTAAGAAAGAAAATTTTCGTAAATAGTGTAATTTCAACAAAATAAGAGTTAATTTGTTCAATGTCAAAAGTCAGTTCTTCTTAGAGGTATATGGGTGCGATAAAATAATCAGGGATTACTTCATTAAGCTGTCTCATCATGTGAAAATTTTATATTAACAAAAATAATAATGCGTACAACTTTATGCATTTTTTGGAATCCTTTCACCAACGCCATACAAATGACAAGAATTTTAAGGGTTTTGTAACTTTGGGATACAGAAAAATTAAATATACTGTTTAAATTTGATTTCTCATTAGTTTATGATAAAAATCAGTGGGATAGAAAAGAACATTATTGTTTTAAGACAAAACAATCAAGACATGAAATGAAACATTCTATAACGTGAAAGACAGGATTGTAAGTCCTAAAGAGAAATAGGTAGTTACAGGTGTGGATCTTTGGCATTACAAAAAATTACATACTTTCACCTCTAATACTAGATTAGATGCAAACAAAATTCAGAATATGATGTAATTCATTTGTAAATGACGCCCTTGTTCCATATTCATGTGATATAATGAAGTTGTACGTATTACTAAGTTAATTTTTTTTGAAGAGTCTAGGGGAAAACAATGAAGGTCACAAAATAGTCAAAAATGAGTTAACACTGCGGTCTTGTAACACACTGAATGTACTATTGACAAAGCTATTCACAGATGTTAAAAACGCTAGGAATTGCAAGATATGAACAAATTACTAGGCAAAAAAGCATAGTTGTTTACTACAGAGTTTTAAACACATTTTTTTTTGCATTATTTTAGAATTTTTGCTAAATTTTAAGTAAGAGAAATCAAGGTATTTCTCTTCATCTTTCATTATAAAAACAATTCTATGTTGACATTCTCTTATATAACCACAATACTTCTTATCGCGAGTTTGTAAGGATTACATTATGTATTCAAATAAAAATGTTTGAAAGTTAAATATCAGTTATTTTGTGACCTTAATCTTTATCCCCTGGACCATTCATTTGGTAGTATATCAGTAAAAATAATAATATACTTACTTATTTTCCTTTTCATGTTCCTGGCAGATATCAATGATCTGAACGATATTGTTGTTTGCAGACAAGTTTTTGGATCCAACGTTAAGATGAATAGGATTTTTCATGAAGTCTGCAGCCAATTTTTTCACTTCTTTGGGCCATGTAGCAGACCACATAAGAGTTTGTCGGTCAGGTCTAACTTGGCCAAGAATCTTACGAATTTGGGGCTCAAATCCCATATCGAGCATTCTATCAGCCTCATCGAGAACCAAATAGGTGCATCGTTCGAGATTCGTAGCTCCCTTTTCCAAGAAATCAATCAAGCGACCAGGAGTAGCAATGCAAATTTCGATTCCTCTTTGTAAATCACGAGCCTGGGGCCCTTTGGGAGCTCCTCCGAAAATGCAAGTGTTACGAATATTTGTGGATCTGCCAAAATCATTGGCAACTTCTTGAATTTGCTGTGCAAGCTCCCTAGTCGGAGCCAAGATGAGAACAATTGGCCCTTCACCCTTGTTAAGAGGAGGTTGATTGTTAATGTGAATTGTGGCAGGTAGGGTATAAGCAAGAGTTTTCCCTGACCCAGTTTGTGCTATTCCAACCATATCATGTCCACTCATAGCTATTGGCCAGCCTTGAGATTGAATTGGTGTTGGCACTTCATAACCTTTAGTGCAAATTTCACTCAAAATGTAGTCAGGGAAATTGGCTTCGTCAAAGTTTTGAATAGGATTCGGGGAGTCACCTTCTACAGAAATCTCTTTTGATTTGCGAAATTGCTCGACCTCGAAAGTTGAACGGCTGGCTACAACTGGATGGGGTACATAACAGTATCGCTTAAACTCGCTAAGAGTTTTGTTACCCCATTCTACTTGTCTTAAAGTGGTTGTATCAGCATAACTTTGGTTATTATTTCTGAAATTATTGTTTTGGTACCCTCCGTCGCCGCCATTACGGTTTTGATAATTATTTTGCCCATAAGATGGTCTCGATTGATTGTAGCCACCACCGCCGCCGCCACCACCAGCACTTCCATTTCTAAAGCCTCCACCGTTATTAGGTTTAAAATTGGAGTAACCATTTGAACGTGGTTGGTAGCTGCTACCATTTTGTTGATTGTAAGACCTATAGAAAAAGTCGTGTTTTAAAATGTATTCCAGATCAGCAGAGTACGTATACTATACTGCCAATCTTAATGTTCATTAATTGAATCAATCTTATAAGATAAGCACAAAATGGTCATAAAACAAAGATTCGACATTATAAAATATTACCCTGCCAGTGCATAATGCAGATTTTTTAAACATGAAGCTTTGAATTGATTTAGTTTTAGGTATGTAGTATATATAAAAAAAAAATCACAAAATGTTAAGTTTCTTTTTCTAAACTTAACCTAAGACAACTTATTGCTAATCTAACCTTAGAATAATTTGACATAGCCTGCTTCTAGAGAAAGTGAACCTATCAAAAACAAAACATTCCAAAATAAGTAATGACATTTATTTAATTAAATTTGATATGCCAGCAAATAAAACCAGGCTTATGAATAAACAGTTTTCTCTTAAGCAATACTGGCTACATTATTTTACTCATGTAGTGCAGTCTTAAAAACAGAAGAAAATAATATTTTCTTCTGTTAGTAGTTTTCATAAGATTCAACTAAACCAATGTTAAAATTCAACTTCACGTCACTAAAGATTATTTCGTAATAAACTTTGCTGCATTATTCTACTCATGCAGTCTTAAAAACAGAAGAAAATATAAAGTAGTTTTCTTAAGAATAGAGACCTATTGCAAGTTCACTTAAGGTCAGTCACTATTAATGCCCCTCTTATTTTGACATCTGAGCATGCTCAGAGATCACAAAAATGTAGTTGAGGGGTCTAGAAATGCCCATGTTTACACCACTCTGCAGGGACGTCTAGAATTTGAATTTGCACAATCCACGTTGCCAAATCTCTACTTTCAGTTTAGTTTGCTTTATTTATAGTTTATTTTTTAACCAAATTGTAACCTCTGTACAAGTATAAAAAGATTTATATTATATTTCTGTTTTGTTTTATAAGACAGACAGTTTTGATTGATTTTAAATTAAAATTTTGTAATTATCACTATTGAAAGGTATTATTGACATTCAAAATAACGATAGTATTACTTGAAAATTTTCATAACATTTTTATTTTTATGGGATTTTTAATCAATGTAAAAATTGGTAAATAGATGATTAAAAGTAAAATCTGCTTATTCCCTGGTTCCAAATAATTAAAAATATATTTATAACCTGCAGAACTAGCCGGAACAGGAATGGTGCGCACAGGCGCATTTCCAGGCCCTTCAACTACAACATTACAAAAAAAAAAAAAAAAAAAAAAAAAAAAAAAAAAAAAATATGAACTGTAATTTAAATTTTTTTAAAATAAGGTCAGAAATAAGTAGGAAGGGTCTTATGTCAAAATTTCAGGGTTGCAATGTGTCTTGTCTTATCTTATTTTAGCATGGAATTTATTTGCCTCTATGTTGTCACTATTAGTGGCTGACGTTATATAAATTTGCAATATCTTTCTATTAACTAAACCAATGTTAAAATTCAACTTCATGTCACTAAAGATTTCGTAATAACTTTTCCTTTTAGTTGCAAACAACTAAACCAGCATTTCTTGATTTCAAATTATTCATTATAAATGAGTTTCCAAATAGGTATGATGTACCTAAGTGATGGATCACAGGGAGGGCAATTTCAGAAGACTTCTTTCAATCTTATGAGTACCTATACTAAATTTTCTGTTTAAATAAAGTTTTGAAATCTAAGTTTATGTTTATTACTAAATCAGACTGACTAAATGCACCTTTAGAGAAAAAATTAATTGTGAAAATGGATATTAAAAAATAAGAGTTAAATTTTGTTTCAAATGAGCTATCCATTAGCAGAAGTAGTGACAAAAACGATACAAATTACCTATAATAGAAAAAAAATATAGAATGAAAACTCTATGCTAAAACCTGCATTTGTAATAACCTATATAGGTATACCTAAGATAAATTTTTATGTAGACATGAGGCAATTTTATTTGGAAACTAAATTTTGATATATGAAGTGATAACAGCAAAATTACTGAAAACAGTACTGGTAGAGTCCAAGGTCCAAAGACCGGCGCCCATACCCTATTATACCTAAAGGTTTATTTGGGTAGGTTCATGGGTCACAGACTTGTTACCAAGGAAGTTTCAGTTTCCTGTCGCAATATAAAATCAATAGTTGCAAATCGTTTCTAGAACAAATCTAGTACATGGGATTGCGCAATCGCAATTTATAATGGGCCACGTATACTGTTGCTAGGCGTATTAACTGTAAATCCAGCAAAATTGATTAATTTGACCTTGAACCTATGTAGTTAGGAGAAAAACGTATATCATGCAGATAAGAAAAAATTCCTTGTAAAACACAATAGTCCACATTTGATGAGTCACACCAAAAAATTATTTCCATGAGGTTGAAATTTGCAAAAAAATTTAATACCTACTATAGTCGCAGATTTCCAGATTTTTCGAGATATTTAACTTTTATCCAACTAAATTATAAAAACCTTCAGTTTTCAATAAATATAAACATGATTGGACATTAGTCCGAAAAATTAAAAATGGGTGGAATTATACAAAATAAAAATAGACTAAAATAAAATTAAAAATACTTACATTTTGATGTCTGTTGTCAAGTCTTGTACGACGCGAGTGAATTTATAAAAAATAAATAAGTTTTAAAATATTTGCAATTAGAAACTTTCGAATAAAATGAAACACCGTACAAGCACAACCGATCCCTTCGAAAGTCAGGAGCAAAAGAAAGAAAATGGCTCGTTGATCTGGGAAGAAGACGGAAATTAGAAATCTATGGGGGAGGGGTAAACGCCGGATATGACGTTGAAGCTTTACATTTTCTATCCGTCTTGTTCTTATACATTAAAAAATTATTGTTGTCTTTTTCATACTTTGAAAATTCTCTTCTTCTTCTTTTTGTAACTTCTTGCTTCTATGGATATATATATATATATATAGCCACAGCTGTAGGTAGACTGTTGGCTAAGTAGGGATTTTAATCATTGATTCAATGGGAATTATGACTTATGACTGATAAAATTTAATTAAACAAAATAGTGTAGTGTGCAGAAGATTTATTAAGGTTACAATAGTGTCAATATTTTGAAATTTTAAAATTAAATGAAATGAGCGAGGAAAGTAGTATTAACGTTGTAATTAAAGATAGTAAGGCTTGTTTTTAGATTTATTTTTTAAACTAAAACAAAAATATCTAAGCTAAACTTCATTGTTTTAGATTCTCAATCAGAAGCAGTAAAATATGACGAAAAATTGGAAACAGATTCTCAAAATGATTTAAAAGAAAAGTTGCAAATAACTCAAGAGTCCGAAGAAAAGTCTGGCGATTGTAAAAATGAAAGTTATGATTCAAAAAATGTTCATTATGAAGGAGATTTAGCTATTTATACAGATCCTAGTACTAATACTCAGTACACTTGGGATACAGAAAAAAACGAATGGGTTCTAAAAAACAATGTCGAATATGGTTTTGAAGATGACACGCACGTTTATACGGATGCTGAGGGTGTCAAATATTTTTGGGATAAGGACAAAAATGCATGGTTTCCAAAAATTGATGATGATTTTATGGCCAGGTAAATTGGACTAGGTTAGGTTGAAAATAAGTGGGATGATAACATTTCTTTATCTGTGCCCCCAAAAGATTACTGTGACCCAAATTGACAATTACAAGCTTGTCTATTTTTCGTTTTAAACAGTTTTTAAGATTGTGAACTGTTTATTAGCATTTTTCTCATAAATGGTTGAAATTATCAAGGCCAATAATTTAATAAATAATCCTATTTTCTAGCCAAAATTTCCAAAAAGTTTCAATAATTCGGCCCATATGAATAAAGTCTTTCTCTTGCAAAAAAGAATTATTAGATGCATGATAGGAGCCTATCATTCGGAACATTGTCAGCAACATTTTATCAAGTTATCAATATTAACTCTTCCATGCTTGTTTATCTATCGGTGTTACATATTAAAAAAAATCTTTCACATCAAACAACTAATAATATGATACACCCCTATCCTACTCGTAGAGGTGGTGAACTTCGTACACCCTTCTCAAGATTAACAGTGGGTCAAAATTCTCCGTATTATCAAGGAGCCATCTTGTTTAACCATTGTGTTAGAATTTTAGGCAATATAGAAAACTTTAAAAAATTCAAATTTATGCTGTTTCAGTTTCTTGCAGGCAATGCCTTTACTCTGTTGATGAACTTTTAGCATATTAATTTTATAACTTAAAATATATTTTACCTAATGTTAATTTTAACTGTCTTTTGTGTTAGTTTTCTGTATATTATACAGGGTGTTTCAAAAAGGTATGTCATAAATTCATCCTCAGATAGATTACCAAAAAATAAGTGGATTTGGCTATATTTACCTATATCAAAAACTGGCTCCCAACAAAGTTACAGGGTGTTAAACTAACATTCAGAAAAACGTTTTTTTTTTTTTTTTTTAAAAAGCTGGCTGTTGTGATTTTTTCTTCGAAATTTTTGTCAGTACTGTAGATTTGAAGGCTCAATATTCTAAGGAGAAAACAAAATTAAAGCGACCCCTTTAAAAAAAGTTGGGGGGTTGGGTACCTTTTAACCCCCCTGTATTTTTTTTTTTGACGTAAAGAAACTTGCTTTATCGATCCTAAAATCAAAAAGAACTATGAATTTTTAAATTTTTTTTATAGTAAAATGAACTTTGTATCTTTCTTAGTTAACGAGCTATTTACAATTTGAGGACGGGTGACACACCATTTTTATGGCGCCAATCCAATATTATAAATACCTTTTTTACAAAAATATAAAAAAAGAGGTAGTTTTTGCAGGGGCGACTCAAGCACAGCCCTAGGCACACCACTGATTTTTATTTGCGTTTTTTGTACAATAACTCCTGACCTACTCTTAGTTTTGTTGATATGTTAAGTCCAGGACGGACGAATTGCTCTAGAAATTCAGTTAAAAAATTGTAAATAACTCGTTAACTAAGAAAGATACAAAGTTAATTTCGCTATAAAAAAAAATTTAAAAATTCATATTTCTTTTTGATTTTAGGATCGATAAAACAAGTTTCTTTATGTCAAATAAAATACGGGGGGGGGGGTTAAAAGGTACCCAACCCCCCAACTTTTTTTTAAGGGGTCGCTTTAATTTTTTTTTCTCCTTAGAATATTGGGCCTTCAAATCTACAGCACTGGTAAAAATTTCAATTTTACAAAAAAAAAACGTTTTTCTGAATGTTAGTTTAACACCCTGTAACTTTGTTGGGAGCCAGTTTTTGATATAGGTAAATATAGTCAAATCCACTTATTTTTTGGTAATCTATCTGAGGATGAATTTATGACATACCTTTTTGAAACACCCTGTATATTATCTTAGCTCTAGAATTTTAAACTTCTATGAATTGGACAGTGTGAATGGTGTTTGTGTTTTTGTTTTTTCTCTTTTTTCTATGTATGAGCTGACTAGTCTAATAAGTTTTTTTTTAAACATTGTAAAAATGTAAAAATACTTTATTGACGAATAAATTCCATTATATTCTATTCTATACCAAATTGTAATTTAGTATTCCTTGCCTTAATACTGCTCTGCCAAATTTGGTAACAATTTATGAAGAGGTGAAATTACAATAAATATTTTAACTTTGACACACCCTGTATCTTTTTCCACATAAACATTTTACTAAGGCATACTTGATCCAATCCTAATTCTTACTTTGATGACTCTATGTCCCATTATTTTTTATGTTGTAAATTACTAGTCTAGAGAGAAGAAAGGAGTGCAGTAATTTAATTTGCAGAACATATCACAGGTTCAAGAGGTAGACATGTTATTTATACCTCATCCTTCAATGCTTATTTGTAGTTAAAATGAAAATTTTAAAACATCTGATAGGCCTAATAAAATTTTTTGTTTAGATTCAATCATGTTTCCATGGTTTTTACCGTAATAAACCTTATATTTTGACAGATAAGTCAGACTTTATTTATATTGCGGACATAAAATTAAATATCATTTAAAAAACTCCTACAATTAGACAAATAGAAATTAAGAACTGAAATTCAGCAGAGCTTCTCGCCCTCTTATTGGTAAGGGCTGGGTGTATGGGTTTTGAAAACACCCCTGCTGAATTTCAGTTCCTAATTTCTATTTGACTAGTTGTAGGAATTTTTTAAAAAATATTTCATTTTATGTCCACTCCACAATGTTGAAATTCGGTGAGACTCTTTGACTAAATTTATATGCCCAATCACTGTAAATTAAAACGTTCAATTTATCCTAATTTAAGCTTTTTTTTTTTTTTTTTTTTCGAGAATAAGCTACTATGTTCCTCTTAATTGATTCGGAATTTTGTATTAGTATATATTATAATTTTACAGTTATATAAGAATGGCGAATGCATTAGAAAATATTGCAAGCACAAGTATGTATCACGTAATCAACCTAGTGGACATAAAGCATTAAAAAGTCTTTGTTTCACTTTCTGTGGATGAAATAGAGACTACATATGTGACCTATACTGGGGTATCAAAGGTCCGTATTTATAAACAGATATCAGTCGGACTTGGGTAAGTCGTCCTTGAACTAAAATCGAAGTTTTGTTACGTCTCTAAAGTTCCAAGTTGTTCCAGTGTTACACTGGAATTTAGAGATGGACATTAACAAATCTGTAACTGTTAAGTTAAATTCACCCGATATAATCGAACTTCGATTTTAGTTTAAGGACGACTTACCCAAGTCTGACTCAGCTGAGTTTTGTTTATAAATACGGACCTAAGTGGATAGTGTATAACATTATTAAAGAAGATACAGTTATTGGAGAAGTCTCACATATGGAAAAGCCCCCAGCAAGAAACAAGACCTTTATTGAAACTTGGGTAAAGAATGTAATAAGGCAAATGGTACATTCTTTTTTCGTTCGAAATAAAATTCCTACACTTACAAGGCGAGTTCGGTCAGTCAGGGGCTGGAGCGGGACAAATTTTAGGGTGCTTTTAAATGACATTTAAGCGTGTTAAACTGTCACTAATCGGACTAAACCGAACGCTAAAAGAGTCGTTTGGAGTTAAAAGTGTTAAAGGAGTTAAAGGAACGTGGCAAACCGAACGCAATGACAAAATTACACTAAAAAATAGAAAATAGCCCCACTCTTCTAAATATATCATATTTTCATCTGCAAAAAATATTACATAAATTAAATTTTCGTTTCAAAAAACGTGACAGAAACAGTTTTTAACAGAGAAAGACTAAATCATTGTGTGGAGACATGATTATTTAAGGAAAATATCGGACGCAAGGAATCAGCATAAACAGGTATTTTATTTAGATGAAACATGGTTTAATGCTGGACATGCAGTAACAAAAATTTGGCAAGATACCTTCATCAAAACTAAAAAACAAGCCAACAGGAAAAGGAAATCATTTAATAATAACCCACATTGGAAAATGTCAAAGAAGGCAACAGAGCACCTAGGAAATTTTGAGTTAAAACATATGCCATATTTTTAGGCTATTTAAGGCTATTTTTATACCCTATTCAAAAGTTTTGTGCTCCTCGTTTTTTTTTTAAATCAAGATGCTCTGCTAGCTTTGAACGAAGTTGAAAACAACATTTTTAGCTATTTTTAGGCTCTTGAATATAAAACTTTTCGAAAAAAATAATATTTTAAAAAAATACAGGGTGCTTTGCTAGCTTTGAACCAATACAGGCTTTTGTTGGAACAAAAGTCAGCAGAGCCCTCGGTTTAATTATTTTTTAGAAAATTATATATTTCGAGAGTATAAAAATAGCCTAAAAAATTAAAAATTTAAAATGCTCAGCTGAGCGAAAAATTTTATATTTCAGGAGTCTAAAAATTAATAATATGGCGTGTTTTTATTTTAGAAATAACTTAAAAATCGAGGTACTCTGTTGGCTTCATTCTAAAGTTAGCTAAGCACGCCGTATTTTTTACAAATAGCAAATTTTTTTGGAATGTTTTATATTATTTTAAGAGCTTAAAAATAGCCTTAAATGAGGCGTATTTCGTTTTAGGAAAAACCTTTAAAAAACGGAGTTGCTCTGCTGGCATCGTTCGAACAAAGTACCCTCTAATACTTAAAAATAGCATTTTTTTAGTAAAGTTTCAAGAGTCTAAAAATGTGGTGTGGTTGTTTCAGAAAAAAATCTTTAAAAAAGCTAACAAATCACCGTGTAATATTTAAAAATAACAATTTTTTAGTAAAGTTTTATAATATTTCAAGAACCTAAAAATAGCCTAAAAATGTGGTGGAGTTGTTTTTAGAAAAAAAGCTTTAAAATACAGAGGTGCTCTGCTGGATTCGTTCGAAGCAGTATTTTTTAAAAATTTTAATTTCTTTAGAAAAGTATTATAATATTTTAAGAGCTTAAAAATAGCTTAAACATGTGGCATAAGTAGTTGTTTCCAGAAAAAAAGCTTTAAAAAGCAGAGGTGATCTGCTGACTTTGTTCCAACAAAGCACCCTGTATTATTTATAAATAACAATTTTGTAGTAAAGTTTTATAATATTTTAATAACTTAAAAATAGCCTAAAAATATGCAGTCGCAGGTGCTACTAGCAGAGTACCTTGATTTTGGCAAAAAATGAGGAGCATAAAATTTTTGAATAGGGTATAAAAATAGCGTTTAAAATAGCCTAAAATATGGCATGTTTCAACTCAGAATTGCTTAGGTGCTCTGCTGCCTTCTTTGACATCATTGAAAGCACCCATGGATTTTTGCCAGATGGTTTATTAATATTCGAGTCAAAGAAAACAAAAACTACCATGAAGAAATGTTTCAGAACATTATTAAAAATAATGCATCCTATCACAGTCAATTAAAGGAGTCGCTACCTACATCAAGATAGAAAAAAGAAGATATTTCAAAATGGCTTCATTATAAAAATATGATCAGTCCTCCTAAATCATTGAAGGTAGAATGACTCGTAATAGCAAGGCAACATAAAAACAAATTCAAAAAATATATTATAGATGAGATGGCCCAAGAAAAAGGAATTGCACTTCTCAGATTGTCTCCTTACCACGTAGAGTTAAAATACCATTTAAATTACCTGATGTGCGAAATTTGTTTTGAAGGCAGTTTTGATATAAAAATGATATCTGAATTTATAAGTTTTGGATCATGCAGAACTTTTTATCAAGAATAAATTTTTTCACAAAATCAATAATAAACCAACTTAGTGAGACATATTGTAATATATTTTATATGCCTTGGCCTTATTTATATTATAGAAACTCATTTTGCAAAGTATGCTTATGGAATGTGACATTATGTCTGCACTTTTACTGCACTCCTCTTTTATTCAGATTATGTTTTTTATTTTGTAGGTATCAAATGAGCTATGGATTTGTAGATAATACAAATATTATGGTTAAAAAAGATGTTCCACCCCCAAAAGTTGAAGAAAAAGAAAAGAAGGTCAAAGGAGAGAAAAGAAAGGCATCAGACCCAACTTGGTTTGAAGTAGATGAAGCTCAAAACACAAATGTTTACATTTCTAACTTACCAACAGACATTGAAGAAGAAGAATTCATAGACTTAATGCAAAAATGTGGTCTAGTCATGAGAGATCCACAATCTGGACATTTTAAATTTAAATTATACAGAGAACCTGGAACTAACCATCTAAAGGGAGATGCTTTATGTACTTATATAAGAATAGAATCTGTAGATTTGGCATTAAAATTATTAGACGGTTACGATTATAAAGGACATAAAATCAAAGTTGAAAGAGCTAAATTCCAGATGAAAGGGAATTTTGATCCTAAACTTAAACCAAAAATGAAAAAGAAAAAGGACAAATTAAAACTTAAAAAACAACAGGAAAAATTATTTGATTGGAGGCCAGAAAAACCAATAGGCGAAAAAGCAAAACATGAAAGAATAGTTATAGTGAAGAATCTGTTTGATCCAAATATATTTGACACAGATGTTGGACTAATTTTAGAGTTCCAAGAAGATCTTAGGGAAGAATGTTCGAAGCATGGGGAGGTCAGAAAAGTACAAATCTTTGATAGACACCAAGAAGGAGTTGCTCAGATCAACATGAGTAGTCCTGAAGAAGCTGAGCAAGTAGTTAAAGTATTAAATGGAAGATGGTTTATGAAAAGGCAGTTGACTGCTGAAATATATGATGGAAAAACAAAATTCAAAATTGCAGAAACGGACTCTGAAATATCCCAAAGGTTGGGTAACTGGGATAAATTTTTGGAAGAAGGTGAAGATGATAGTAAAAAAGATAAAACTGATATTAGTGAGAGTAAATCAAATGAAGAATGTAAAGATAGTTTATAAATGTAAACAATAGTAAGGTAGCTTAGAAAAATGTGCACAATCTGTTCTCAATAGTGTGAATATTTTTAAAACATTGTTTAAAGATTCATGTATAGTTAACATTGGCTTAGTGTAGAATATTCAATTATTTACCCAATAGAAACATGTTAAAATCAAAATAAGTTACAAATAAAACAATAATCTCTTATTTTTTATTATTTGGTCATTCATCAACTAAATTTTTAAGCAATTATGCATGAACATATGTAGTTACTATCGATCCAAGTAAACAATTCTTGAATTCTCTTATTCATGAATAAAAACTAGTTTCGTGCGGCAATAAAACTTTTCTTTGAACAAAACATTTCAAAAAATATTTTATACTTTTTTAAAGGCGGCATTGTTTATACCACTGCTGTCAAATCTTTAAACAGATTATGCATATACATACGTTTACAGTCGTTCGAAGTAAACAATTCGTGCGTGTTTATAATTATGAATAAAAATGAGTTCCGTGCGACAATAAAACATTTCTTAAACAAAAAATTGAAAAAATATTTTTGATATTTTAATTTTTTTTTCTTTAAAGTGAGAATCGTCTTACGGTTCGCTCATCCTTGTATGGAAAATTGAGTGAATTGCTAAAAACATTTCGATGTCCTGACACCTTGACAATGACATATTTAGATGTTCCCTAATAACGACATATCCCTCGTCCAGATACCTTGACAACGACATATATATTTCGATGTCCGGACACCTTGACAATGACATATTTCGATGTTTCAACACCTTGACAGGCTAGGAGCCCCAGCCAAACAGTTGAAGAAAAAGCAGAATTATTTGTTGATCATTATGAAGACACTTTCAGTTATAAAGAAAACAACAACTTTGATAATATATAATTAACAATTGGTATGAACAATTTTTTGCAGAATACAACCCCAATCAGAACATTATAATACATGTTTAATAATTATTTATATGCAATTGTCTGGTTCCGCCGATAACAAGAGTTATCCTCGACCTTGTTTTGTCCCCAGTGGAACTTACAGTGATGGTAGCCGTTGATGTATTGATAATAATAATAATAATAATAATAAACGTCTTTATTTGCACAAAATATAGATTACAAAAATGAAGTGCACAATAGGGCGAGATTTGGCCTATGGCTACTTACATTTAATTAAAAGGATGTACAAAATTTAAGAAACAAATACAAATTAAATACAGAGATAAATTCAAAGATAAATACTTATATTTATAAAACTTAAAAATAATTTACAGTTCAAAAATTATGTATGCTGGCTATCTAGTAGATGTTGCTTTAATCTGGATTTAAAGGCATGAGTGGATAGTGTGATTTTTAACTCTAAGGGTAATGTGTTATACAGACTTACCACATTAAAAATGAAACTCCGTGTAAAACAGGCAGTATGATGAATAGGCATTGATAATGTTTTAGTGTCTCTTATGTTAACCGTATGAACTGATGTCCATATTGAAATTTATCACTAAGATAGGTAGGCAATGAATCTTTGGTTATTCTATGCATCATACAATAAATATTGATAAACATTGTGAACCTTCAGCCAATGAGTTCTTGCAAAAAAGAAAGAAATATGGTCGTATTTTCGTAAATTATTGATAAATCTACAAGTATTCTGTATGATTTGAACCCTGTTTTTATTCAATGCTGTTAAGGATAATACATTTGTATTCCATATACTATTTTAGACATAACGAGACTTAGATTAGCTCTTATTTAATAGAATATGTTTATTAAATATAGTAACCTTAGACCACCATAACTAGCTTTTAGTAGATGATTCACGTAATTGTCGAATCTTAAAGGCTCAAGTCATGATTGATCTGATTCAGACATGTACAGGTCTTTTGTTTCAAACTGGTGGAATATTTGCGTGTCGTCGGCGAAAATTGGAGAACAGTTTTGGATAACTTTATTCAAGTCGAAAGTGTATAATAGAAATAGCAAGGGTCCTAAAACTGAGCCCTGTGGAACTCCTGATTTTACGAACGAGGGTGTTGAAAACTGATTACCCACCATCGTAGTTTGAGAACGGTTAGCCAAATATGTTTTGATAAAGTTTAATGATGCGGAATCGAAGACGTAAAAAGAACATTTTGAAATCAGCAGGCGATGGTTTAAGGTGTCGAATGCCTTACTAAAATCTAACAGAACAAGAATTCCTACTTTTTTATTATCTATATTCGTTAAAATGGTATCTAGCAAATTGGCTAGAGCAGTTGTGCTGAATCCTTTTTGAAAGCCGGACTGGTGTAATGGAATTATTTTGATTTCAATCATGAATTGATACATAGGCGGCTCGCTCTAGAATTTTAGACAATGAGGGAAGAATACTTATTGGCCTCAGATCGCTAAATGATTTGGGATTATTTTTCTTGGGTAGTGGTATAACTAATGCTAATCTCCACTGTTGAGGAAAATATCCCTCTAAGAGACACATGTTTATTACCTATATGCAAAATATATAATTCAATCTCTGGCATACGTAGCTCTATCATTTTTAAATTAATACCATCATCACCGGCAGCGTTTGATTTAATATTACGAAAGATTGTATACAAGGTAGCTTTATCAATTGTTTTAAAATTAAAATTGGCATTAGAACTGAATTTATTTGTACGATACTTAAATATTGATTCCCAACAATGGATATCGCTTTCTTGGTATACAGAAGTGAAATGATTTTAATGTTTTAAAAAATGTTGATGAATTATTTTGTTTACTTAGATATTGTAAATTAGCTGGTTTTTCCCTTCTTAATGACGCTAGTGCAAAACTCTTCAATCTTATACCTTTGCCATTTCTCATTAGTTTTATCTATTTTATATTTGTGTAAAGCTTCATCTCGCTCTTTGAATATTAGTTTGAGTGTGTATGTCAGCCAAGGATGAGCTCGTGGCTTATTTATTCGAGCTGTTCGTAAAGGACAATGTATCTGGAAGTTGGAGTATAATATGAAAACTAAACAAATCCTGTCTGAATGCTATATGATCAAGATTTTTGAAATCCCTGCAGATAACAAATTTATGAGTATGTTTGTTATAATTTAAAAGTATATCACAAAAGACCATTTGGTTGTTAGTAAAATGATCAACATTTATAGTATTTAATACATTTGCTTGGAATGTTTAAAAAAAATAAGGCCAATTAGAGTTGCTAAATGACCAGTATAATGTGTAAGTTCATCATCAATAATTTGACTTAGGCCAAATACATCAAAACATTCATTAATGGGATTGAGCTTATTGATAACATTCACATTTATATCGCCCATAATTAAAAGATCAAACGACTTACCTGAAGGAAGTTCGATCTTAATTTTTCGAGCAACTTCGTCGAACCTCATTACACTTTGTAGTATATAATCTCGCTCCGGACCTGGCACGTTTGTAGTTTTTAAGCAAAAAATTGGTACTATCGCTTCGGTGAAATATTAGTCATTATAATTTTGTGATTGGTATGGTTAGCTCGAGGGTTTGGGCAGGTGGAGCCCCTGACTTTGGGTGGGTTGTAATGAGGTTCGACGAAGTTGCTCGAAAAATTAAGATCGAACTTCCTTCAGGTAAGTCGTTTGATCTTTTAATTTTTCTTCGCAACTTCGTCTCCCTCATTACACTTTGTAGATGTTTAAAGATTAACGAGCTAGCCATTTCAATTACCTAGGAGTGTGATAGGAGAGAAAAAATGAAGATTACATAAAAATCTTTTGGATATTTTTTATTTTTTTTTTTTTTAATTTAATAGTAAGAAATATTAATTATATATAAATATGCTCTCTATTACTTAACATGAGCTTTGTAATTTATGGTACATATTAATCTATAGCAATTATGGCAAAAACCACATATATTAGGTATATAACTATATAAATATAACCAAAACACGTTAGTTACTAAGAAATAAAATTAAAACTAAACAAATTAAGTAACATCTGGAGGTATAGAACTTTGAACAAAAGTAAATAAAGTATGAAATTGTAAGGTAATTTTCTAAATATTATTTTAATTTTCATTATTCTTATTGAATGAAAGTACGGAATTCGCAAATTGGCAAAGATCTGAGGACAATAGTCTGTTATAGAAATTTGCGAAAACACTTGATCTTTCAGTCCAGCCCGCAGTTTTGTAGATAGTGTCGAGGTTTACGCCTCCCCTGAAAGCTGCAGATGTTGCAGCATGTCGCACACTGTGACTTTTGAATATGTTTGTATCTATTCCGCACTCATTAAGTACAGTTTTAATCCAACGACTAATTGTTTGGCTGGTGGCTGGACGGAAAGGTTCCTTGTGTGTTAATAGTAAAACATTTGTTTGATCTCTGGTTTTTTGTGTTTTCTATGTAGTAAGATAGAGTGGAAGCTTCGCAAAGTGCCGGATTTTGCTTTAGATACGGCAAGACTAGGTTTGGTTGCAATCTATTGGGACCCGTTGTTTTGATTTTTTGTGGTATTCTAATTTCTATTTTGTTTTCAAATCTAATAATGTTATCTACTGTAATTTTTGAAAGAGTCTGTGCTCTGTGAGCTGTTGCCAATGCTAGCAGGGTAGTTAGCTTTAATGTCAATTTTTCAATGTTTAGAGAACTGAGTGGATGAAGTTTTTCTAAGTAACTCAACACTATTTGTGGGTCCCAAGTGACTGCATACTTTGGCTTTGGTGGTCTTGTATTGAAAACACCTTTTAAAAATCTTTTTATGATTGCTTCATCATTTGGCCGAAATTTGATAATTAAATTTAAAGCGGATCTGTATGAATTGATTGTTGCATAAGAATAATTATTATCTAACTCCGTTTTTAGAAATTCTATCACTTGAGAAATGTTATTTTCGTAAACCTGTATGTTTTGGGAAGAACAAAATTCCCACCATTTTTTGTAACATGTATCGTATTGTTTAATGGTACCATCTGATATTGAAGCTATTATTGTTGGTATTGCGTTTTTTGGCACATTGTTCATTTCAAATGCGCCCCCGATAATCTTCCTACCGCCAGGGTAAGTGTTGCCCAAAGTGGGTGGGATTCCCTGAAAGGAGACAATAACAAGTTTTTATTTGGTCGGAACAGGATTAATTTTTCTGTTAACATATTTATGAATAAGGGATACCAGGGCTGGCTTGGCCAGTAAGGGACGACTAAAATACCACATGC